GGGGGGTGCCGAGGAGATTCCGTCGGGAGCGAGGTCTGTGGGAGCGGGGACCCTGGACGCGAGGCCACGGCCCAGCGGTGTCCGCGGCCCGCAGGCACGCTGCCCCTGACCGCCCAGGAGTCGGCTGTGGTGGAGGACCTGCTCTACGTGCTGGTGGGTGTGGACGGCAGGTATATCACCGCCCAGCCTCTCACCGGGAGGCAGAGCCGCACCTTCCTCGTGGACCCCAACCTCGACCTGTCCATCCGGGAGCTGGTGAACAGGGTCCTCCCGGTGGCTGCCAGTTACTCCACGGTGACCAGGTGGGCGCCCGCCTTCCCAGGTGCTCCCGATCCCTGCAGCTCAGTCCTCGTGCCCCCAAAACAAAACCCCAAGAGCGCGCTTGTCTTGTCGTGACCGGGTTTCACTCCTGGCACGGTCCCGAAGGGCCTGGGGACAAGTGCAGGGGGCTGGTGTCTACGGGTTCCCTTCAAGGGTAAGAGCTTGAGTGGGGAGGGGACCCAGAGCTTGTGACATCTGATCTGAAAACTCAGCCTCACCTGCTCAGGTGCCCTCTCCCTCCTAGGTTCATTGAAGAGAAGTCTTCCTTCGAATACGGGCAGGTGAACCACGCCCTGGCGGCCGCCATGAGGGCCCTGGTGAAGGAGTACTTGATCCTGGTCACACAGCTGGAGCAGCTGCAGAGGCAGGGCCTCCTGTCCCTGCAGAAGCTCTGGTTCTACATCCAGCCAGCCATGCGCACCCTGGACATCCTGGCCTCCCTGGGTACGTGCCTGCCCTCCCGCCCCCGGGGACGTGCCGGCCCTCCCGCGGGAGCATCGGCAGGACCGGCGTGTTGTGCGGCCAGAGCCCACGGGGCGTCAGGTGTTAGTCTGTGGCAGGAAAACTCTGGAAGCTCTTCCTGATAGGCTTTAGTTAGCGATCAGAGCGTTACGGTTTGAGTGTGTCCCGCGAGAGCGGCACCTGTCCCCGGGAGACCGGAGATGAACTGAGGCCCTGGCCTCTCGTGACATGGCCTCAAGTGCCAAGGGCACCCCCTTCGCCGCACTGAGCGCCACCTCCATGTCCTTGCAGCCACCTCGGTGGATAAAGGCGAGTGTGTTGGGGGGTCAACCCTGAGCCTTCTCCATGACCGGAGCTTCAACTACACGGGGGACAGCCAGGCCCAGGAGCTGTGTCTGTACCTCACCAAGGCTGCCAGCGTGCCCTACTTCGAGATCCTGGAGAAGTGGATCTATAGAGGGATAATCAACGACCCGTACAGGTAGGGCTCGCGGGGCCTGAGGAGAACACCGGTGAGGTACGCGAGGGGCAGACGCCCGCACGAGCCCCGGGAGGCTTTATCTTGTCGAGCGGAGGGCGAGCGGAGGGCGTCGGAGTCGCCTGGAGCGGCGGCTCCTGGCCTGAGCTTCCTTCCTTCCCGGGGGTGAGACTTGAGCGTTCCTTCTCCACATCACGCGTTTAAATACGTAAACGGAGCTTGGGTAGCTCACGAAGGAGTCTATTGTGTTGAGGTAGATTTCTTAAAATACTTTAAAAATAAGTTTGTGGCTGGGGTAGTGTTTCTCTGCTAATGGTGCAGATAACAGTCTGAGGGGAGGGCCTTACAAGGAACACGATTTTATATTTTATTTTATTTTATTTTATTTTATTTTATTTTA